ACCAAATGTACTACAGGGGGCAGTAATTTCAAAAGTGTAAATGTTCTGTTGTAATAAATAAAACAGCGAAATATTGATGATTTAGAAAACCTGTGCACAGTTTTCAACATTTGACACTTTGCCCTAATCTCAAGTTCGTTAACGCGTTATGCAATATAATAAACGAAATAATATGCCACGGATTTATTTAGTACAAATAAAGCAAAGAATACGACGAAAATATTACATCCCCTTTTCAGGCGTGACGTTTGAGCGTTTGAAAAAAAAAATGCGATAGACGTGCCTATATAGTTAAATGGCAAAATCCGAGATCCGATCGTTTTTACGTTTGTAAAAAAAACTAAAATTGTCTGTTCAATCGAATCAAAATACACGTTTAGATGATCTCATGTTACTGCTATTTTGAAATATGTCGCGTTCGCGTTCTACCGAAATGTAGTACTTGTTTATATTTTTTGAGGGGAGAGGCATTGTAAAACTAATGGATGGAGTAACTTCCATGATGTTTCAGGATACGTGTTTTAGTGACAATTTTGTCCACTTAGAAAATTTAGCACTGTGTAATTCTGTGTCTAAAATAAGGGGGAATTTGTGGACGGTGGGTAAATTCACAGGAATATTTCGCGGACAGGAGCATTTTTTTTTTAGAAAAAGGTGTGGGAGAGAACCAGACCTTTTAAAATATGTCAGGAGTGGGCATACAGATCACACAAATCTGGAGGGAAGCTGATAAGTTCGCCGGAGGGCAGGGAATAACAGTTTTCAGTTCCCCCTTAATTAGTCAAGCCAACTTTCTAGACCTGTAAAGCGATATCGTCATGAAAAAAAAAAATAGTTTACGTACATCACTTGCTGGCTACATCCGGCTGGAGTGCTCTGTACTACAATATTCCAGAGTGTGATTATTCTAGAAACCCAGATTGTACATAAATTATTTCTACTGGGGGGGGGGGGGTAAGTAAGTACGGGGGTACCTATTTCACCAGTGTTGTTCATTCTAACTCTAGAAATTTTACATGCCTCTCTGCGCTCCAACGACAATGTGAAATGAATCAAAATTGGAGACATTGAAGTGAAATGTACAGCATTTGCTGTAGTCTCGCTTGCCAGACCTCGGGTCTGACTGAGTTTTACGAAAGGGCGCCTCTCGCGGCGAAGCGAGACTACATTTGTTGGTGACCTGACATGTTTTCTTAAAGATATCCACTCCGAACACCATCTTTGTAAATCTATTAATACATTCGCACAAATCTCGGGTCTTAAAATTAACACAGAAAAAAAGTGAAGACATGTGGTTAGGTAAATTTAAGCCTAACAAATCTAAACCGTTGGGTATTGTATGGCCAAATGAATTAAAATTGTTGGTGTGTTTTTCTCATACAACTCAGGTGCTTCGTTGAAATTAAATCTGGCGAATGTTACGGAAAATTTGAAGAAAAGATTCAATTTCTAGAGAAATTTAGAGACCTCATACTCTTGGGATTATTAAAACAATTATTAAAACTATGGAAATTTCTATACTTCAACACATTATTAACCTAGCAATAAATTATTTCAATACATACATTAACTGGCTTGGAAGGAGGTTCAGAGAAAAGGAGTGCCCAGATCATGCTTTCTAAAATGGTATGGCCTGATACAATGCGTACATCACAAACTAAACAACTCTGATTTTGATGAGCATGTTTGCCCTTTGGATAAACCAGATAGTTTGAAAAATAGCAGTACATCAGTTGATTTACAAAATTGTACTACAAGAACTGTGGCTAAGAGTATTGTGAACTACATGTACAAATTAATTTCGCCTCCATCTGAGACCTATTCTACTGTATTATTGAATATCTTGCACTTGATGTCTTGGCTGCCATTACAATTGCAATTGACAGTATGACACTCGTCTCAGAAAATTTCAACTCAAATAATTTCAAATAATTCACAATATTCTGATCACAAACAAAACATTATTCTAGATAAATCCTCCCATTGTGGAGTCTGATCTGTTTACTTTCTGTTCTGAATCTCTTATCCAATTGTTTTACCAATGTCAATGTACCCAAGATTGTTGGGAAACAAAGTATATGCTTTAGGTGGCAAGCTTGGCCTGAGGACATTCTATAGCACAACAAATCATATATGTTTAAATATTTCCTGTAGATAGAGTACTTCATTGCTGTCTGACGGAACAGGTTGACTTCTCATAAGAAATGGAGAATAATGAATATTTCCCAGTTCGCTTCACAATATGCAGATTAAATGCAATTTGTAATGTACACACAAGGTATGTTAATTTCAGTGCAAACTCCAATAAAAGTTTATAAATACAAAATCATACCAATGTACCATTACAAATGTTATTGTATTAGGGAAAATAATACACTCAAGTTTTTTGACTAGATTTGTTTAGAATGTTGTTTTTTCTTTACTTTGCCCAAGTTTTGAAGAGCCAACTCCATTCACAGTAGATTGCCTCAGCAATTTAATTTCTCCCTCTGCTTCTCCAATGTATTACATAAAACCCAAAATGTTGTCAAGCAGCACATATTCAAATTTCATGTGAACAAACATTTTACATGTTGTGTAGTTACTATGAAATAGTCGAAATGACACATCACATCGACCACTGGCTTTTTAAACTAGCAGTTTGATATGTACATTATTTTCTCTCATAGAAGCTGTGATTGAGCAAAAAACCTTTCTCCTCAAATAAATACTCCCCTTAACCAAGAAAACTTTGCAACATATTAATTTTGCACTTTATTTTACACTGTAACCTCAATATAATGAACACCTTTATAATGAATTTCCTGATATAATGAACACATAGCATGTCTCCCACTCACAACAAACCCAATGTATTATGAGCTTCATTATAGTGAACATTTCACTATAACAAACTAATTGTATGTCCCCCAAAGAGTTCGTTATAACAAGGCTACAGTGTACTTTTGCCTTCAACTACATCCAATTAATTACCCATCTTCAGGGAGCTCTTCTTTGATTACCAATCAGAGAGTGCTTTACTAACAGTCTCCGTTCTCTTTAAGCAGTTTGAACTGGTTTAAAATCATAAGGTCACCAGAGACAGTGTATTAGGAGACTAGAGTTTCCTTATCAGACTTGCAGATTAAGTAAATTTATTTACCTTGATCTATGGAAATGGGGTAATGAGATTTTTAAAAAAGTGACAGTAACTGTTCATTTTATTTCAAATCACTTTATACATATTCTATAAGACCACAAACTACAGTGTCATACAAAACAGATACTCAAACATCTAGATGATTCAGTGATGTCATTTTAGAAGATCACAATGGAAGAATTTAATTTGAACAGTAAATTTATTACCGGGTAACGATAAATTTGGAATACCTGGGATACTGTACTGTAATGGTGTCAAAGAGAAATGGGCATCATAATGAATGCATTCCAAGTATGATAAATACAAATGTATATCTTTTTATGATGGAATGTTTGCCATTTGAGGGATTTTATGAATATAATTTACAGCTCATAACATAAGAGCCCTGCATTCACTACTCCAAAATATAACAATATTTCCTGACACACAAATTGAAATTGAAGGAATTTACAACAAATGTATGCATGCATAAATCCTTGTTTATGTACCCGGTAATCAGAATACTCAGACATGTGACATCAACATTTAAAGATGCAAGAAGAACAAGTCTTTCAAACCATTTATTTTTATCCACAATCTGTTTGTACATGATGGGAATAACAGTAAATAAATCTGAAGTCAAACTTTCTGAAAATGTTTACATATGTCGATATTGGATTACATGCACATATCAAGCACTAAATGGACTAATAGCACTGAATTATCTTGGTTCCAACAATACAATTGAATCATCCTAAAGTTTCACAGATACTGGTATGAGAATAAGGTCACAGGGACAACAAATCCATCAGTGAATATTTCAGTTTAAATTTAACAAAACACTCCATTTCCCTTGAAATACACATGGCCCAGGTTTCAAGCAGTGTCAACTACACAGTCAGAATTCATGAAAACTATACACTAGACTTAAAACTGTTAAAAGAAAAAGAATCTTGATCCACGTTTTGCTGGTTGGATATCTTCAGGTGGTTTATTTCGCACCACAGGGTCTGGTTTTGGTCTTGCTTTGGACACAGGTACAGGCCTATCAGTTTTAACAACAGTTGTCTGAAAGAAATAATTTTAGACTTGTAATACAGAATCTCCACTCATATTGCATTATTGAAGGGAGATATTTTATCATGTGAGTCAGTTGATGAGAACGATTTTTATAACCCAATGGCTTTATCAGACTCCAAAAAATTCACAAAAATTTGTCTTACATGAATTAGTATTTCAAAGTGATGCCTAGTCTATCACAGCAATTTGTTTTAGAGTGTTTTGATTTTTATATTAGATATATAAAAAAACTTCTTCTACATAACTAATGCTAAAAACAAAATAAATCGATGTGAATGACTAAACATATATAGACTTTATTTCGTTTACAGTACTATAACATTAGAATGGTAATGTGTGTGCACATCTAATGCAGGAGATATGATTTCATAACAGGATGATTGCAAGTTTGATTCAAACAGGTGAAAACATTTTGATTACGAATACTGAGCAAAAGATTCAGAATTGTAACCACTTGAAGTGTGTGAAGAAATTGAAAAAATAAGACAAAGAATACAGTTAGCTGGAGAGTTTCAAAAATCATTGACAATTTACCTGAGTAAGTTCACCCATCTCTGGTCTAATCCATCCAAGATTGTCAAGTACACAATCATCAAATTTCTGCTGTTGCTTTCTACACTCATGGAATTTCTGTTCATTCTTATCCAGACAGGTCCAATACTGAGTGAAGGATTCATTACAGTGCAGCTTGACAGTCTGAAGGAAATCCACCATGCACTGACTGACGGCTCGGCCTTCAGTTAAGCATTTACGGGGATCTTGTTCTTCATGTCTACACAGCATGAATTGCTACAGCCATAAAGGGAAAAACAAGACAATGTGAGATGGGAAATGAAAAAAAAAAATTCAGGAGCACCACTATTTTGAAGTTGCCATTTAATATTCACCAATAAACCATCCCAATGTGATGACATTTTGGCCAACCAGCATGCGAATGTCAGAAAACAAAATGTCGCTCACTAATCGGGAGTAGCTCACGAACTGCTACAACAATGTTGCCCATATTAAGTGTGTTGTTTTATCAATAGGAACAAATACATGTATATTTACTGTGGCCGAAAGAAAGAACGAAATGGCAATATGAGCCTAGCAAGATGGCAGTATGAGACAGTTTTGCTAATGATATAAGCTCACAGTTTAGCCATTGCTTTCTGTGGCAACACTTTGCTCGTTTTGTTAGCAAAACCGTGTCTCATGCTCCAATACTGCTGTTCCATTCTTTCTTGTGACCACAGTAATAACAGGAGCGGGCAATACGAGAAAATAATTGGTTCAAAACAATCAAATTTCTTTGCTATAATAATTTCCACATCTAAAATTCTAAATTGCCATATTATTTGTACATTCTAATTACAAACACATCAGAATGTTACATGGCGCCATCAACTGGAACGATAAATTAAATTCTACAATCTACTTCAACCACATTGCGTATCGATCTCTATTTTTTGAAAAACTCGTACATGACCTTAGATGACCCAGCCAGGCTTGAAATACGTGCAGACGACTGAACTAAACACGGTTACATTTACCTTATTGGGAATATCACACTGTCTCCCATAATGGTGCGCTGCAGCCTTCAGTACAGCAGATGTCACGGGAACCTCTGGTGTTTGAAGCTCCTCCGAGCAGGGCAGTTCGGGGACATGGGGCATCTTAAAATGTTAATCTATAAACACCGGCAAACTTTCCAAATTAGTCCATTCGATGACCCCAAAATGGCGTCTACCAACTCTCGCGTGATTATACTCGTCGACTGGTTGGTGGCGCTCGTTAATGTCTTTTTCGGCTATTGAAGAGATGAACGTTTTATTTTCGTCGACATTTTTTCGCTGATAATTAAGTGCGGTAAATTGAAACCCAGTGGAATATTCAAATTTAACAGTAGAATTTATTATTTCCTGAAATAACAAGTCAGTGAATTAAATTTAAAGCAGTAAATATTTCTCCTGAAATACTGCGAACTTAGTAAAATACAATAGCTATTTTAAATGTACAAAAGAAAATGTTTTTATATATTCAGAAATTTATATTAGATATGTGCATAAACGAATAACTGTATTCATGGTGAGATTGGAAAAATTTTGCCAAATTTCACCTCTATTGGCAATGGTGACAAGAATATAAAGTGTCAGTGTGTGTGTCCAAGTGTTAATTAGTATGACAGCTACCTGTATGTTATAAATTCATATTATCAATGAATGGGAGAAAAAATAAAACAAAAAAAACCATCTCAGGATGAAATTGGGGAATTCCCTTTAATTGTTGCTTCTAAAATAAATATGATAAAGTTCTGGTCCAAATTTGCCACAATGTAATTAGGAAAAACTATATAACTTGATGAATGGGAAAAACAAAACTCTATTGGTCATTTTGAGAGAACCCGGTTTGAAGATTAATTTAGAATTTGTGTAAAGTAAAACCTACTCAA